GGTTAATGGTTGACCTGGGATATAATAATCCTTTAGCGGTCAACGGCACTCGCGGCAAGTTCGCGTGTGTCCTTATGAGGATACGTTTTTGAATGATTGCCTGGGAATACAATTGTCCTTTAATGGTCTTATATCACTCGGGTATCCTACTGGCTGTGCTGCGTTGGCAATTTGGGCATTTGGTGGGAATAACGATTGTGGCGGATGTTTATGTCTAGTGATTTTATGATCGGTCCCACGCCAGAATTGTTATTGTCACCATGTACAAATTCCAATTGGTGTGTATCGTATTACAATATTTAGGTGATGTGCTTAGTTGCTAAGGCTTATGTATAAAGGGATGGAATTGAGTGCAGTGTACATATGTTATATGCTATATGAGTGTATGTGCAAGTGTAGTATATGTAATATGTGGTACATATGTCATATATATACTATTCTAGAAGCTACATGTCAAGATTGGTGATTCCATCTTATATTATTTACCGAAATTGCTCAAAAAACGGGATTTCGATAACGACAAAAAACTCTTGTCTGATAAATTTCGGCTTCCAAGAATAGACGATGTTCTTGACCAACTACGCAGAGCAAGATACTTCTCATGCTTAGATTTAATGTTCGGTTTTCACCAAATAGAATTAAAAGAACAGTCCAGAATACAGAACACTAATATATGATTTAACAAAATATCTGTTTGCCATTCCAATCCCAAATAAAAATGCAAAAACTGTCGCTAATGCAATATTCGAATCTTTTATCCCAATGAAAACGTTCATAACGGACATGGGTACAGAATATAAGAATTCAATAATAACAGACATAAGTAAACATCTAACAAGAGGTTCTAGTCGGTTCTTCCAACAGAATATATGTAGGTATAAAATGAAAGATACTTGATATATATATATATATATTATTCTAGAAGTTACATGTCAAGATTGGTGACTCCATCTCATATTATTTACCAAAATTGCTCAAAAAACAAGATTTCGATATCGATATTGATTACTTGGAAACGGGGCAAGTTATCGAATATCGGAAACAAACTCGATCTACGAGGGTAATAGGAGGACCTACATCTAAAATTTAGTCTCTAGCTCCTATAGGTTCTGAGATCCTTGCGTTCAGACATAAGGACGGACGGACGAACAGACAGACAGACGGACAGACAGACTGACAGAGCTAGATCGACTCAGCTGTTGATGCTTATCAAAAATATATATACTTTATGTGGTCGGAGATGATTCCTTTTACCTGTTACATACATTTACACAAATACATTATACCCTTTTTGCCCATTTTCAATAGGTTCATGGTATAAAAAAAAACAAAAAACAAATTTATAATTAAGTTTCATTAAATAACTACACATTTATAATATTACGTTATTTCTCTAAAAGTACCTCCCATAGTGTATTCATACACATATATATGTCGGAACGGAGAAATCACTTTCTTTTGTTGTCCTTTATCCCATTTTCAATGGGTTCAGGGTATAAAAATAATTGTGGGCGGATTATCCAAGGCCAATGGGTATTTGGTATTTATGAAAGGGATACCAAAAGGCTGTACATAATTCATGTCGAAAACCGCACCAAAAGCACGTTACTTCGTAATATAAAATTAAGATCTGTAATGGCTCAACAATAATTTCGGATTGTTGGTCTTCATACCGATGTCTAAGTGAAGGTTTTGCGCACCTGACAGAATCATTCAATGAGCTTTGTTGACCCAACTACGAAAGCGCATACAAATATTAAAAGAAAATAGAGGGACTTGAAAGATAAAATTCCGAAATATTAACGATCAAAAAAACATTAACGGGATACCTAGCAACCTACGTTTTTAAATCGCACTATCCCAACTACATGGATAGATTCCACAATGCGTTTGCAGCCATTGCAAGACTCTACAATCCCCATTGTAGCAGAGAAAACATTGATCTAGACTGCATATATGTAAGTATTTTATTTTTAACAATATTCTTCTTAATAATTTTAAAATTCATTCAACAGTATTAAGACGAGCTGGCAGATCTCTGTGAAATGCAAATAGCAGAGAAGAAAAATTATGGCATCATTTCGGTAAATTCCTAGGAAGCTCGCACGCATCTTAATTAATTTTTGTTCAATTTCAGTATTAACACTAAAATTTTTTTTCGAATGCGCTGTTCCTTATGGCTTAACATTTTTTAAGTTTTAAAAAAAATTTTTGAAAAAATACATATAGATTTAAACATAATATTAGAACAGTCGTAACATTTTTTTATTCCGATAATCATGCAAATGCAAATGATTAAATGCGCGTTTATATGTATGCATTTATTCAAACCTTATTTGCAAAATAATGTACAAGTGTATGCGTACAAACTATGTATGTGTGATAATCAGTGTAAAGTGTGATCATATGGTCACACATACATATATGCATATAATAAAAATTTAGCTTGTTATTTATATTATTTTCAATAATTAGAGAGGGAGAAGATATATGGCCAGATATTTTGGTTAAAATGTCAGCACCCGCCACGATCAGATGACGCACTTCTGCGCTGGGATACCCGTATCATTCAACTTATCTACGAAAACAGGTAGTTTTCTCACTTGCAATTTGTTTTTTTTTGCAGGTGTCACCCAGGTAAACACGAAAAGTGTAAAAACGACGGAGAGCATAACGATTCAGTGTTAGTAAGAAACCGAGAATTAGACAGAAGGTACTGCCATTCTCTCCAACTTGTATAAGGATTGCTACTGAAAGCATCGGGTGAGACAAAGAAGATAGTCTCTGTCGAGCATGGCCCGAGTGTGTTGTATAGCGTTCAGGTTGGCATACAGTGTTGAGTGCTCAATAACAGTACTTAAAGTTAGAGAAGAATGTAGAATGACAAGAGCATCTGAAGTGTGCTAGAGGACGATAAAAATCATTCATTCGAAACGTGAAAGTCATAGTGAACGGACGTGGTCTTAACAATATAATTTTTTTGTGACTACAACGACACTCGGGACTTGCTGTGCTGCCAGTATACCTAATTATAAAGAAAGTGATTTCTCTGCTCTGACATCAGAAGTGGGTTCGGGCGATGCCCCTCCACGAGGAAATTCTGACGATGCATGGCGTCAGCTTCTGGAATCACAAAATCGCAGATTTCAAATGCTGCGTCCTCCACGAAGAAGAGCATCTCGTTGCCTGGCGAATGCATCTCTGTATATGCGAGCCGTCTTGTAACGTCACTTTTATCCAAGTGGAAGACAGCGAACATGGAAGAAATCTGGTGAGCCGTTCCATTTTGTTTTGACTCTGGAGCTGAAAGAGAGTTGTGCCGAAAAATTTTCCGGAAAGAAAATTAATAATTTTATAGTTCTAAGGGGTATAGGAGAAAATCCTGTGTATAGCACCACGCAAATCTTGGCTACTGTCAAAATTAATCAATACTCTTTAGAAATATTATTTCATGTAGTAATGGATAATATTTGAAATACGACGTATTGATAGCCCGTGATATGCTCGGATTGGAGTCTCCATCGAGGCTGACAAATTTGCAATGTACAAAACCAAAACTGTTGGTGCACTAATAAAAGTGCCAGATATAAGTTACGTAGAGCATTTGAATAATGATAGAGCATTAAGCAACACGTATAAGAATCGTCTGCTAGAATTATTGCAAAATTATGCTGATACATTAATTGAGGGTATTCCTCAAACCCGAGTGACCACAGGAAATCGGCCTGATCGATCCAAATAAAACTGTACAGAGACGTCCATATAGGTTAAGCATAGAAGAAAAGGAAGTCGTGCCAAATAAAGTTAAAGAATTGTTAGATTAAAACGTCAAACGTCCGAGTTACTCCTCACTTGCAAGCCCAATGCTGATGGTTAAAAAAAAAATGAAACCGATCGGCTATGTGTTGATTATAGGGAACTTAATGCTAATACGGTCGTAACAGACTGCGTAAAGGCTCATATTTCTCCAGTTTAGACATGGCAAGTGGGTTTTTTTGGCCATGCCTTTTTGATTGAAAAATGCTTCCTCGATTTTTCAGCGCGCAATTGTGAGAGCATTAGGTGATTTGGCTCAAACGTATGTCATCGTCTACATAGATGTCGTGTTAATTGTAGCGAAAACAAAGGAAGAGGCATTTGAAAGGCTACAAGCGCTCTTAGAAAACTTATCTTGTATCTAGCGGGTAAAATTCGACAAAATCCACGCAAGATACAAGCGTTGGCCGAATTGCCGTATCCCAAGTCAGTAACACAGGTGCGAAAATTCATAGGCTTAGCCTCCTTTCGATCTACTAAAACCAATTGAACTACACATGGATGCAAGTTCTATTGGATATGGTACCATTTTAATGCACAAGATAGAAAAAAGACCCAGATTTATTTAATATTACAGCATATGTTCGACAATGGCTGAATCGAAACATCAATCATACGAGCTTGAGACTCTCGCGGTTTACAATACTTAAGGCAATATTGATATATATATATATATATATATATATATATATATATATGGAAATATGGCATTGACGGATGGAATAGTATATGAGAAATATATTCAATTATTACTGAAGATAAAACATAACATAGAACAATATATATAATACTTAAGGCGCAGTATTGCAGTAGTTAATCATTAGGTCATATAAAATATTTTGAAATTTTTGGGCGTAGTGCTCACCAAAATTACTGATCTATCTAGGAAGAATGGGGGCAGTTGCCTTTGCGCACGATGGTAGTATGTGTGGGCTTTTCCAGGTTGACTTCGATGCTCCAACTTTTCAGCCAGTTGTCCAAGGTGTCCAATTGACGCTGTGCTGACCGTTGTAAAAAGCAGTACTGACAGGCTTGTCGGCTGTGTACACCGTGTATAACAATGGTCCCGCTGCCTCATGGGACTCCGGCTCTGATGCACTTTTTAGACGAAGTGGCGTCACCGCACTTGGTGTTAAACCGTCTGCAGCATTTAAGCATTTAAGAAATTCGAAGTGGGATCCTGGTAAGTTTGCCTCGAAATTGTGATGCAGAAATTATTTTTATTGAAACAAATTCCAAAATATAACAGAATACGCCCCAATAAAATGTTTTTAACTCAAGATTCAAAGGAAACGAAATGACGTTAACATCAAAGATGACTTAAAACCTCAGGAGTTATGACAATAAATTAAATTAATAAAGACATTGAAATCCAGATTTTCAATGCACAAGAGCTCAGGAAATACTTAGAATTTCACATGCAAGGATCAATCTAATAAATATGGCATAAAAAAATTAAGACATTCCCTTTGCTTCGGAAATAGGTCCTCACAGCATTATAATAAAGCTGTGCATTATTCACAGCAATGACGAGCCTGTGGTGATTGGGTCCACTCACGCATTGATTTGCTTGTGCACACATTCATACCACAATTTATATTATAGCTCACTAGCGCGTCTTCATCAGCCCCAGCCAAATAATATTTTTTGGTCATGCATAGGCATAATCGAACAGAAGATTAGCTAATTTATTTACGCGTTAGTAATATCAATTTTGTCACTGTCGAGTGTTCCATTTAGATGTGTGATAATTAACAAGGACCACAGGGACCGCAGGGAACTTGAGGACCACACGGCCCGACGGGTCCACAATGCGTGTTCCATGGCGTTGGAGCGCAAGGATAACAGGGTCCACACTCCGGCGATTCGTAGGGGCAGGGGGGTGAACAAGGTCCACACGGTCCGCAAGGACCACAAGGTCCATTTCCCAATGGTCCACAGCCTGTTCCGCACGGACCACAAGGTGCGGGTATAAAAGGCCCTGAAGGCATTGTCAAACCACACGGACCGCAATTTGGCACAGCGCAGGGTCCACCACAGGGCCCACATGGTCCACCACATGGTCCACCACAGGGTCCACATGGTCCACAACGTCCTGGTCCACACGGTCCACAACGACCTGGTCCACACGGTCCACAAGGCCCACAAGGTCCACAGCGAGTCTCGCACACTGGATATTGATTTGTTGAGAAGCAAGGAAGTGGACAACAAGCGCCACCTGGTGCACATGGACCGATTGGGCACGGTGGACAAGCGGCACTGGGCTTGTAGTTTATTGGCCCGTTCGGGTAGCAACAGTACTCGCGTGGCGGTGGTATATCGATAGTTTGTGGTTTCGGCTGGCACAATATGGACTGGCAAACTTCTCTAGGTTCGCATACACGCTTCGGATAGCAAACAACATAGGGATCAGGTATCATGGACGGATAATATATTACACGAGGCTCGCGAACCATTTGCGAGACCCAAATGAGTTTTGGAACTTTGATAACCCGAGTCGCATCTACCACTTTAGGAACAGTAATTTGACGACAACGATTTACAACCATAGGCTCTGGCACAATCTTCTCCGTAAATACAACTCGTTTTTTGCATATAAGGCGCGGAGGCTGCTGTACAGTTATGCACTTGGGAAATGGCGGTGGAATGCGCGGTGCACATTGCGGCAAGGCTTCCAACTGCGCGGCATTGTAACACTTTGGCGAGCACTCGAAAGGTCCACAGCAAGGATCACAGGGGCTGCACGGTCCGCAAGGAGAACACATTGTGAAATAAAACAGAAAAAAAATTTATTTTGATTTTAATAAAATTTTAAATTTTGTTGTTACAATTTGGATGCTGGTCGAATTGAAAATGAATGTATGAGCTATGCGTGCCGTACAAGGACCATATTTGCTGCCTGAAATATCAAAGCCTACTTAGTTTTAAATTATTAACATCAGTAAAAATATATTTCTCTCATTTTTATAATGTTGTAGAGGGTAAATAAATCTGGATAAATAAATCTGCACAATAATGCACTTCCAAGTGTATAAAAACAAATTAAATGAACTTTTTATATATTAAAGGATATTAAAGGATATTAAAAAATGTCATATGAATAAAGGATAGAAAACTGGGCATTAATTAATTTCACTTTTGTCTTATGTATGAACCCACGTATTTGCGGTAGCTAGAATTTCAAGAATTTCTGTATACATGTACACACACATATTCATGCGCGTCATCTTTGAATTCTATCAACAGCATTGCAATTGCGAGTGTATTGTTTTCTGTTCTGCTATTTAAATTCGTTTTTTTCCCATTAAGACTCAATTATTGGTGTGGCTGTTGAGTAGAGGCGGCAGCAAGTAGTGCGGTCTGTTGCGAGTACGAACACTACCGAGGAAACCATTTATTTTGATTACTACTTAAGCAAACAAGCGCAATAGGTGTTGGAATAAGAGGGTTCAGGGTATCCCCTAGTCGGGAGCTCCCGACTAGAGCCTCTTACTTGTTATTATATGTTTGGTATTATTATCACTTGTATATAGTGATATACGCACCACACCCACATTACATACCGTTTGATCGCTGCAAACCGTACTGACTTACGCAAAAAGGAAACACGATAAAAACAAATCAAAATCAAATCCAATACCTAAGAAACAAACCGAATCAAAGAAATGTCACAGCCAGTGGAACCTACAACTGTCATAACTACATTTGTCCCAAGCCCTGGGCCAAATTAGGCGAGACCCCACATTCTACGGAGTATAGTGGGGATTTCTAGTTCAATTTGCTGAATACGTTCACTAGTTCATATTCTGGTCGTGAACTAAATCGGCCATTTAGTTCACTCGATCAGTTATTCAGTCGGCCATTAACTATTCTTGTAGTTCAGTTAGGTCATGAACGATTCGTTGTGCTTAGCTATTAAGTTGCACGCTTTATTTTCTGTTTAGTTATTTTTCATGTTTTCATTTTCAAAAAATATGTTATAGTTTTAACTTATTATACTGTACCATTCATAATAGATACCTACAACTCAAAAAATTAAAAGTAAACTTCAAATCCCGCTATCTTTTTCTTTTTCATTAACAACTGAACTTATCAAAAGAATGAATCGTTCATGAACATCTGAACTGCTGAATATTCATGAGCGACTGATCGAGTAACCAACCCGTCAAAAATTCTAATGACATAATTTTTCAGAAATTTATGACATTCTATTAGGTCAGGACTTCTTAGAAAATTCTAAAAGTTTTTCAAAAATTTTAGCGAGATTAATCTTAAATTTAAATAAGACAAATACGAATTTTTGAAATAAGACTGAATTCCTAGGCCATATAAGGTATAAAACCTAACGGATCCAAAAAGAAGCCATAACGAAATTCCCTTTACCAATAACAACTAAAGTAATTTTCTAGGACTTTGCTGTTTTTACCGGATATGTCTACGTACATTTTCTAAAATAGCTAAACCCATCACACATAAATTCAAAAAACAGGAGAACAAATTAGAATTTTTAAAACTATAGTTACTAATTATGTTCGAAGCTTGGAAGCAGCCACAAAACTGCAGAGTGGTGATCTTGTGGAAACGCAACATACTTTGCTTTATGAAAATTATGTGTGTTCTGTCTTTGTTAAATTTATTGTGAGACAATGTGCTAGTAAAAGTAAATAAGTAAAAAGTAAGTATCCATTATTTGATTTAATAATAATTTAGTAATAGTGTTGACATCATAAGTGCAATTTAATTTCATTTGTTTTTGATTATTCGTTTTATAATGCCTTAATTTTCAACCTCTATTAGTCCCAGTGGGTTTGTAAGGATTATGTAATTTACCGTGAATTATGGGTGCTTTCCTAAACTTAGTATTAATTTCAAAATCGTTTCGCTTTTCATTAAGATTACTTATTCCTGTTTCTTTCATATTCTGGGTATTATAAGAAGGTGTACCTGCGTAATTGAAAATGTCTGCTGGGGTTCTGCCAGTAGGGTTATGGTTTAGCCTATGCATATAAGTGTATAAAATTTCCTCAATTTTCATGAGTTTATGTTCTTCATCATCTTCAGTATCTGTGTCATCAGTTGTTGAGTGGAAGTAGATAGGGAATGTATGTTCTTCCTCAGGAAGAGACGTCACTTTTGTTTATAATTATTATCAAGGTCAAGTGAGTTTATGTTTACATTTGTGTGTGTGCGTAAGTGGATGCTCATGGGGAAGGGGGCGGGGGGTTTTATGTTTATATTTATGTGTGTGGGTGGCGGGGGTTTTATGTTTACATTTGTGTGTGTGTGTGTGTGCACGCGCGCGTAAGTAAATGTGTGTGGGAAGCAAGATTACATAGAGGAGGGGGGAGTGCGTTGGTGACGTGTGCGCAAGACGGGAAGGGGGGTGGAAGGGGAACGACGGTAGATTAAGAAGAAGAAGCCTGCTGGAGTAGGATGGCAACCGAAGATTAGGGTCACAATTTAAACCTCGTAAGGCAAAAAGCAGAAATTGCTTCTGAACAGATTCAATACGATCCTGGCTATATTTTTTATACTTCGGAGACCAAATGCAAGAGCAGTACTCAATGAGTATTGGCAATTGTATAACATACAAAATAGGGTGTAGTACGATGGAAGGTCATAAACATACACTTTAAACAATTTAGATGCAATTGACTGGCCGAATTCCAAAATTGCATAGCGTGTAAATCATCTTGTAGGCTAGAATGATGTAGGGGATTAGTGTATGATAGATAGTGATAGTTTCACATCATCCGAATAAGTGTCATCAGTTTGAATTTTAGAAAGGAAAGCATAATTTACCAAAGAAGTAAATTCTAGCAGATTGCTTGTAGTTGACCGATTCTTTACGAATACATGTTGAACAGGGGAGACAACTGATTTGCAGAAATGCTGTAAATTCGAAGTGATTATTTAGGGATAGCGGACAGTCTTGCAATGCCCCTGTAATTTTGGATATCAGACTTTCCACCTTTCTTGTGGAGAGGAATGATATAAGATTTTTTCCAAAGGGATGGAAAAACAGAAGATGCAAGGGATAGATTAAAAAGCTTTAGCAATGGTTATACAAGGGATGAGCGACACTCCCTGAGTAGACAACTAGGAATATTGTCAGGCCCAGGAGAGTAAGAAGATTTTAAAGGTATAGAACTAGAGGAAGTAAAGGTTAGAGGAAGAGTTATTATTAGGACAGACTGAAGAGTAAGTTGATTGGAAAAAGTTAGCAAAGAGGTTAGCAGAATCGAAATCATTGATAGCTTTATCCGTCCCAAGAGAAAAGAAGATGGCAAACTTGAAGGTTTACGCTTCAAGTTTACAAAATTGTAAAACTGTCTCGCATTTTGGGCAAATTGCCTTTTGCAATGAGTAAGATAATTCTCATAGTATTGAGAATTCAGAAGAAAGAAGTTCGACTTGTCTATGGAATATTTAGCCAAGTCAGTACACGAACCAGACTAAATAAACTTCTTAAAATATTTAGATGTTATATTTCTTAGGTTTGATAATCTAGAAGTGAACCAGGGTGGCTTTGAACAAGCAGTCAAAGGAATTAAATTGGGAATTCACATATCTAAGAGGGAGTTTGGGGTATTATTAAAAAAAATTAAACAGTATTCATATCAACGGAGTCATAGAAAAAAGACCAATCGGTTGCATGAATACGTTGATTAAGCAAGGAATAGTTTCCGAGTGCGGGGCTTATTGGTAACTGATGAATACGAAATGAGAGGATTGCAATTGAGCATTGCGACCTCTAAAGTAGGATGATATACATCTTCAGGAAAAGATAAAGGAAAGAAAGCCTGGCTGTGATGAAAAGTAGTATGAAATTTCTAGCGTACATTGAAAGTCAGGATTTCGTCGTTATCATGGATCATGCAATGCGTCAAAGGGACTTCTCTGGCAGATAAGCCAAATGCTCCATGAAACTTCAAGCGTTCACGTTTAAGACAAAACAGACGTGGTTCCGAAAACGTCGTTGCTGATGCTTTATCGCGGCAAAATGAATCTACAGTAAAAGGACTCGAGTCAATAGCCCCATTGTCGATTTACAGTCGGTTCACTTCAAGACTCTGGAATATTTGAACTTGATAGAAAGTATTCGGATAAATCAATCTAAACTACCTGACATGAAAGTCGTAAAGTCGAAAGGGTACGTCTACAAAAAGATTTAAGCAGCGGAGATGAGACTCAAGAATGGATCGCGTGGAAGCCATGGGTTCCATAGGCGTTGGTTTCAGAGATCCTGCAGGAAGCTCATGAGTTACCCAGCTCAGCTCATTGTGGCATGGCAAAAACAGTAGGAAAAATTAAAAATATTTATTTTGGCCACGCATGGTTTAAATACGAGCTTACATATCCAATTGTGACATTTGTCCATTTGCGCAGTCGCAATGTTCAACTCAGTGTGGGAGATGCAGTTTTCGCTAGAATAAAAGAAGCGTAGTCCATACCATTATGAATTAATGTTTTTCATTTAAAGGATATCCAAGTGAAGAAAAACCATGTCTTCCGATAATGCTTCTGCGATCAAGTTTTGTTCCATTATCTGTGGTGTTGTGGTCGTAATATAAATTCACAATAGGGGAAACTTATTTAAAGAAATTTCAAGCTTATGTAGTGAGACACCCTGCTCTAGTTTTTTTTTTTGAGTAGCACACGTTCAATATTAAAGAATAGCACAAAGCAGACAGAAAAATCGTTCGATTGCACCGTAAAAGCTCTGTTAGCAGGTGAACAGCAAGGTGCAGAACTATCAGTCAATCATTGACTTCAGAGTTGGCGGAATGGTCATTTTACTTTCCAAACGCTAAAAAGTATCAGCAGGAGTCTTTTTAAATCTTTTGTTTAAAACT